CGGCGGCGGCGGCGCGGCGCGAGCGCCACATCCAGAACACCACCGCCAGGAGTCCAAGCACGAGCACAGCGAGCACGACGGCGGCCGCGGGCGCGGTGCTGCCCGGTGGCGCCGCGCCGTGGCTCGCCATCGCCACGCTGCCGTCCGGCGCTTCGTAGTCCGTGCTGAGGCCGCGGCCGGCTGGCTCGACATCCGGGTGGTCGTCGTACCCCACGTCAGAGGAGGAAAGGTCGCCTCGCCCTCGGACGGCGGGGAAGATGCGGCCTGGGGGTGAGACCTGCGCCACCACCGGTCCGGAGGGTGGTACCATCACCACCTGCTGCACGGGACAGGCGCCGCGGCCTCTCCCACAGTCCACCGCCCGCTGGATGTCCGAGAGACTGACCTCTTCGCCGCGGGAGCAGTCGTTGAGCAGCTGCCAGCCGGCGTAGGTGATCTGACAGCTGGCCGACTTCTCGATGATTCTGTCACAGGCCCGCTTTGTGGCCAAAATTGAAGATGCGCATCCCAAGATGTTGATTGTGGTGCAAGCAACGAAGAGCAAATGCATCCACATGACGGACATTGGTCACGGTTCCTAGTGGTTATGTTTTAGATACTTTGTTATGAACGCCTTGAGGGCTACGTCGCCTCCATACGAAGGCTCCAGTCGCTTTGGATGACTGGTTCAGGTCGTTTTTAGTGCACGCATCCCGCACAACTAATCTTCGAGTAATGTAGAACAATCTTAGCGATCAGTTTCCGGCTTTCCTGGGAATCCTCATGGTTTGTTTCCGAGAGCAAACACAATCTTTTCAAATCCCATGTTGATTTGCTACGCATGTCACTTCATTTGACCTGTCTGCGCCTATATTCTTGTTTTGCATGCTGGTAGTGCTCTTTGGTCCCAGGTCTTCCACTCCTCTACTCCTTCCGCTCTTGGCTCTCGCTCCGTGGCTTGCTCCCACTTTTCAGACGTGCTGGCGTTTTGTCATTGACATGAAGCCTCGTGAGTTTATGGTAGTAATGCTTGTGTTTTGAGAATGCTGAAAACCTGTACCATGCAACTGATCCCACACGAAGACAACACCGGGTGCCCATTCCAACCGGTCTGACAGCGGTTTTGGTTTAGTTGAAGTAGAGGGAGCACAATGCACGTTGTTTTGATCATTTTATAAGAAACGCCAGCTTCTACGAAAGACATCTTTTCATCCAGAGGCCACGGTCACTTTTCAAATGTGAAGCTGTATGGGCTTAGTTGAGCTGCCAGAACACCATGACCGATACACATCGATAAGAATTGGAGCACCTGGCACTAGCACTAAATCTGCCCGGAATATTTGGAGGTCAGGACTTCCTGGGTAAGTGCAACAATGGCCTGTTTTATTCTTGTTGTCTGTTGTCCTTAAAAAACGCATCAGTCGGCCTCGACTATTTGAGTAAGGCGCAAAAACATGCGATCAAATATTCAGCCCAAAAGAAATGAGTCACGGAGCCCCGGCCACGCAGCGCCTTGTACGAAGATACGAGAAGGAATCAACAGTCTCGTAACACGCGCCTCTCAGACTGCTAGTAGCCTACTGGAACGGAAGATTAACAGACCAATGCTCACTCAGGAGCTCAACCTACTGGAAGGGCATGAGTTATCAGTGATATCACCAAGCTAGTTTTGTCTCTCTCTCTCGTGAGCAATTCTTTGTGACAAGTCCTGGTCGTTTCCGACCCGCCAGTTACTTGTGCTACTACCGGTTAGAGTTGAGCTCATATCGGCACAGCCACCTATATCATGGATTGAATTTAAGATGATAAAGGCGAACTTTTATTGTTGCCAGCCCCGAATGGATCTCGCATTGCTGTCAAAAAACATAGCTGGGGTCAAATATCCGCTGAACTACCTAAAACCGGAAAGACTAGACAAACTCCTTTTTTAGTATTCGAACCCAGGTAGTTGATGTGTGAGGCCGGGGTCCCAACCACTAAACCACTACACTCCCTAGCTAAGTTGCATGGTGCATACGGTGTCCTCGTGATTATAAGCACTACTTAAAACGTCGACTTTTCTTAGCAAATCCAATGGCTGATCGATATCTTCATTAAATCTGGTACCACATGGTATAATGAATGCCAGTTGCTCTCAACAAAAGAACCCATACTGCTACAAAAAAGGCAGGAGCTACAGGCCTTTCTTGCTGGCACGAAGCAGTTGACACCTGCCGGCTTACGCAATGATGCGGCACGCAGATAACGAGTTTGCACTGTTGGTGACGGATGAGCCGTGGGCAGTGTGTATTGCCGCACAGCGGACGCTGTGCCGGCGGTCCGTCCCGACCCAGCCGGCACATCGCACGTGACTCATCCGCACACTGTAGGTCGTCCTGCGCATGGCGCAGCGCAACCGTGTGACGGTGCACGTGGGACGGGACAACGGACGTACGTGCCCGTGAATGTGCATCCGTACATCGCATACCGAAGCATCGGTGAGTGCACGCTCGGGATGATGCAAGTCACCACATCATGTGTGATGTACATCAGCCACGCAACATATATGAGGTTTCGATGATTAGCGTGTCTGTGATCGTGCATGTAGTTTACTGCCACAAGCCTTCATGCTAAGGCATACGGAATGTCCACAGCAAATAGAAGCCGACAAAAGTAACAACGCGCGCACGAGCCTTTAGAATATATTTGTTATAAACTATCAACAGGTAATCTGCAGCATAAATTAACATCGTAAATACTTCGCGCTGCGACGGCTGCCATATGCAGTTAAACGTCCAAGTTCAAGATTCAAGACTGCACCACGTCCAAGTTCAAGATTCAGGACTGTACCACGTTCAAGATCAAGTTCAGGACTGCACCACGCACTGCAGAAAACTGCTTCTCTGCATCACGCACAGCAGGGTGCAATGGCGGATTAAGGAGGGGCGGGACGGCCTGCTCCAAATAAAGGATGTTCCGTCGCTTTCTTGCAACCACGATTTCCCTGCCTCCGTTCATGTAGGTATGATTCACTCATCTCACTGGTTTGTGAAAGAATCAGGCTGCTACATTAATTTCTTGTTTTTAGAGGCATGCTTGATTCGAAGTCTCGACTGCGGAAAGTGGAGACTGTGGAAAGAAAGAAGTCTCCACTCGATTGTGGAAAGTGGCTTGCGTTTGATGATCTTTTACTCCACGTGACGTCCAGTGAATGATTCCAGAGGCCAACGAGCTCATTTTTAAAATCTTCTGGTTTTGCTCAGTAAGGCTGGGGGCTTTGAACGATGGGATGTAAGACCTGATTGCTACACCGGTTATGCTAAAAACTGACGCTCAAACCTGCCGGATTGACTCAGCGTTCCAGGCGTCCTGACACTAAGGTACGAGCCTCGCGCTGATGGGGTATGCATACTCCGCCGCGCAGTGTCCGGCTTGAGGAAATGCAGGCGGTCGCGTGTCGAGTATGGGCGTCGCTCCGTCAACCGTGTCGCTGGGCGGCGATCCTTACCCACGCAGCCGGATCTCGACTTGGGCGGCTGGAGCGTGGCTAGTCAGGCCAGGTCGCTTGCTTTGCGGCGGGGAAAGATGCGGTGCTGCTTCAGAGTATTTCTAAGGGTACAAGCACTAGTATGGCAGCTTCGCTTCTCGTCTAATTCGTCAGACGCTTGCAATGGCTCAGAGAGCTTCGGCAACGTACGAAAGGGTAGCAACGATGCTAGTGTAATGCTCAGCATGCAACAACGTAAATATACGATATCAACTGAGGCAAGGCTGTAACACCTGTCTTTGAGTTACTGGGAGGTGTGTTGTGCCCCCTGCCTCACATGCGTGGTTTGCGAGATGCATAACATGACAAACACAAACCCGTCACATAGATGGGTTTTATTATTTCGGGAACAAAAATCGTTTGAAAAATGTTCGTGAGGCAAAAGATCTTGCGCAAAAGGCCACGACAAAATGACGCGCGGAAAACAGAATGCATTTGTAAGATTGCCTGTTTCAAGCATGGCATCGGCAAATATATTGTGACAACATATCGCGTGGGGTAGATATCGTAAGAGACAAAGATAGCAACGGAAAAAGATGGCAAGGGACAAATAACGCATGGGATGAAGATTGCGTGCTACAATATCGAACGGGATAAAAACCATGCCGGATAAAGGTCGTGATCGAAAAATATCCCAGGTTATAGATATATTCTGGGGCGAAAATATCATTATAAAAGATCGCACGGGATAAAGACCGTATGGAGCAAAGATCGCAGCGACAAAAGTTATTACGGGACCACGATCGTGCGCGTTAAATGCCGAATAAAAGACTATGTTTTGGGTGCGACTATGTGTCACCAAGCCAGCGCTGTGATCATGTGACGAGCATGTTACCCCGCGCACGTTACCCACATGCAGCAAACCCTTTAAGCTGGGTATTGCGGTCTGCCGGTATGTTTCAACACACGCCAATGACACATCGGCACGTGACTGCCCTTCGATGGTCTGACAACGTGAGGCATTATGCATGATAAAGACACGGAACCAAAACACCGACCTATGGGGACCTACAAGAGTAATTGTGGTACGAAGTCGGACAGGTTAATTGCTCTCTAAATATCTCTTGTAATGAATCAAACCCTTGCGTATGGTCAACTTACACCGGCTAGCCAGACAGACGAATGACCTGTAAAGTTGGTACTCAGATCTTAGGTGACCGTTTGTTATTTTGGCATGACCTAGTGTGGCCCCGCGGCCAAATTTAATCATCTGATTCAGATTAAGTGGTACCTGTCTTCAGTCATCACAGGCGTCAAGATTCAGCAGGATGGCACCATTCGCTCCAAACAAATGTGAAAAATCAAGGAAAGGGGCAACACGGTTCCCAGCACTTTGCACATACAGTCTGCTGTCTTGTATGCACTTGTGTGCGTGGGAATGAACATTAGGCATGCAAACCCAAGCCCAACATCAAGACAAATGTTGCAAGCCCAGCATTGTATTACAACGCCGGCTCAAGACGTGCAAAATGGAAATGTTTTTGTTATTCAACCGAACTCCAGTCCTTCATCTTGTGCAGCACGACCACTTTCAACGCAACGTAACTTCAGAACACAATGAACCAAAAAGCACTGACCGGCCCGCCCCGCGGCGTTGAAGCGCGACCTGTCCACCCGGGCGGCGCGCGCTGAAGCGTGACCTGTCTACCCCGGTCAGCGTTGGAGCGTGACCTGCCTACCCGGATCAGCGTTGGAGCGTGACCTGCCTACCCGGGTCAGCTTTGGAGCGTGACCTGACTGCCCGGGTCAGCTTTGGAGCATGACCTGACTGCCCGGGTCAGCGTTGGAGCGTGACCTGCCTGCCCGGGTCAGCGCGGGTCGCCGTCGACTGCGTCGCAGCGCGCCGACCGCTGCCGCCTCCCACCCTTCACAGTCCCCTCACGGCCTTACACTACAGGTGCCGAGTGCGAAGCTGAGGCTGGCGATACACCCCGGGGCCAGATCCGATGACAGGTGGCGGACAAGTCGGCTCGCCAGGAGCGGGCGGGCCACACAGACATCGTGCGACCCCCGCCAGGACTCTGCGGCAGCCACAGCCGTCTGTGCGAAACATACCTTGTGCGTAACACTTGTGTAAAACGACCACAAGCCACATCGGAACAAGAATGAGAGAGCGCTGGTGCCATGGAGCCGACTAGTGCCCGTATCGGGCATGTCACACAATTAGTGGGGATGGTGCGGGGTGCTGTCTCACCAAGCTCCAGGACGGCCTACCTAATCGATAGATAAAATCATTCGCCTCACTACGCAATGGGTTTTCTCCACACTTCAAAACACGACATACAAGTGTCCACCTCCACGTGATCCAGCACATTTGACATCTGTGCGTAATGTAACACGACGCGTGCTATATTGCTCAAAGTCACAGAGAGCACTCCGGAAGCCAGTGTGCTTAGACTCTGGCAGTGGGAGGCAACGAGCACACAAAACACATGACTAGTTCACTCGAAAGCGGCTCGCAGTGACTAGATGCCGCATGAACAGCATACTGGGGCTGCAAGGCGGTCACAACACAAAACGGTCGTCAGGCGACGAATGACTAGAAACCCTGGAGAGCGACGCGAAGCACAGATCGGGCGTTGTACGTGGTCGATTCCTCAACAAAATCCATCTTCCGTCAACAGCGGTCGATGTAAAGAACGCAGGGGTACCGTAGTGGGTGACCCACAAATAGAACAGCCGATTACCGCGTGCATCGAAGAACGTCCACACAGTGATAAACTCTGGTCACCCACGAGTAGCACCGCGCTAGCGCCGCACTAGCGCGGCAGCCAGCCACACCAGCGCGCGCGCCTGAAGTAGAGAGAGAGAGCGGAACAAAACCAGGCTAACCCACCACAAGCCGCGGCGGCAACACCGCCGGCGACGGTGGCCGGGCTCCGCCGTCCGCAGCGGGACACCCTCGCAGTGCTGAGACGACAGACGTGAGCTCCACTGAGCGAGTACTGCGGTCGCTGCTGTGCGTGGCCCCTCACAGACACGGCACGACGGCGGCCAGGGCGGCACGACGTGAGCGCGCGGCAGCAGGCGGCTCGCAGCAGTCCCGCGCTCTGGACGCCCCGGTCCGACGGCCGCTCGCAGCGTGGCGTACTTGGCGCGTCGCGGCCCACTAGGCGTCGTACGCGTAATCGGCCTTGTTGTGCATGATCAGCGTGTTGTCGACGAAGTAGAAACTGTCGGAACGCGTCTCGTACGGGCAGCGCACCATCTCGGCCACTGGCGGACGGGGAGAGGGCGTGTCAGCCGCTGTACCGGATCATCTCACGGGCGGTACGGGGCGGCACGGACGGTTGGTGACGTAGGGGGGGGGGGGGGGGTGGCAGTCACCGTACCGGGTCATCTCAGGGGCGGTGCGGACGAGTGGTGACCGAGAGGGCGTTTCAGTCCCTGTACCGGGTCATGTCAGGGGCGGTAAGGACCGGTGATGACGTAGAGGGCGTGAGTCGCTGTACCGGGTCATGTCATGGGCGGTACGAACGGGTGATGACGTAGAGGGCGTGAGTCGCTGTACCGGGTCATGTCAAGGGCGGTGAGGACGGTTGGTGACGTAGAGGGCGCGAGTCGCTGTACTGGGTCATGTCAGGGGCGGTAAGGACGGTTGGTGACGTAGAGGGCGTGAGTCGCTGTACCGGGTCATGTCAGGGGCGGTAAGGACGGTTGGTGACGTAGAGGGCGTGAGTCGCTGTACCGGGTCATGTCAGGGGCGGTAAGGACGGTTGGTGGCGTAGAGGGCGTGAGTCGCTGTAACGGGTCATGTCAGGGGCGGTACGGACGGTTGGTGATGCAGAGGACGTGTCAGTCGCTGTACCGGGTCATGTCGGGGACGGTGCGGACCGGTGGTGATGTAGAGGGCGTGTCAGAGCGGCGCCGCAGTTCGTTGCAGGTGGCGGGTCTGGCTTAACGACTTCCACCGGCGATGGGAACCACGCGTGGATGGCATGCAGAGAGGTAAAAGGAAAGAAACCACAGTAATGCAGTGTGTTGTGAACACATAACATCGTACACATAATGGCAAAACATGACGAACAATATCGCATTGCAGCGAGGCAGCCTCGCAGCCTGAGATGACAATGCAATGGTTTCAGATACCCACGATGTCTTGTTTAACGTTTTGAAGTTCAGAACACACCAACGGTCTCCACACACGTGCTGCGTAAACCAAAGGGTCCTATGGCGACGTGGTATAAAAAAATGCTCACTCACCTGTGTCCGGGTGTATGCTGGGGAACTCGTAGATGTGTTCGCAAGTGTTTTTGGAGTTGGGTATGCAGAACCCGAACTCAAAGTCGAACGTCTTCAGGAGCTTGTTGCGGAAGAAGTGGCGCTCGATCATGCGGAAGTTGTTGACAGGTTCGGGTCCGATCGTAAACTCCACACTGCAACGAAACCGGCATTTACTTCACAGATAGACGATGCCAGGCAGGCGTTACTAGCACTTCAACTGACATCTGGTACATACCGGACATCAGCATATGTCGTCCAAAAGCAGTTGGTAAGGCGACAACGTCAAGGTTTTACATCCATGTGTCCTACATGACACCACTCTCAAGCACCATGACCACAGACTTACGCCGTATTTGGCACCGCAAACCGGTCTCACATCCCCGGTGAGTGGGACGGCGGGCAGTACATCCCAGCCGACAGATAGCGGTGCTCAAGATGCGGCTCCAGCCATTCGAAGCAGCTGACGCCGCGGTAATTCCTGGGAGACCCCGACGACGGTCGACGCCAAATGCATCACGTCGTGACCCCCTGGCGCGACGCCGCCGCAATAACGTGCCCCGGCGCACCAGCGGGATTAAGCGCAAGAACGCCGGGGGCACAGCGCGGTCACCCAAGGTCACAGACGTGGAAAAGTGTCACGACGCGACCACACCGGCTCACAATGCGCGCAGCGGGTCCCTACAATGCCGGAGTCGAGACCCAAGCCCACTGATGACCTGCCGATTGTACCCGAAGGCGGCGAGCACGAGCAAAACGCAACCGCTGTCACAAAGTTCTCAAAATAAACCCAGTCCAAAGGCTCTAAACATCGTCGTGGGTTCCCCCTATAGCAGCCATTCAGGAGCCGGCGGGCTCACGCCCACACCTCCGCGTGGAGCGCGCGCCGAACACGCCGCCGAGCCGCCGGAGTGTCGGCATTGATCTGTGTGGTGGCGCGGGCCGGCGCGGCCGGTGGCGGCCGTGTTGACAAGACGTCGTCCCGGGGACGGCGGCACCGACCGGCACACGTCCCGGCGGCCGCATGCGACACCTCGCACCGGCCGGACGACATGCCGGGTGTTCTCCGTGGACAGGTTATAGCAACGGTGAAGCGGAGGGCAGACGGCTAAAAAGAGCGGACGAATTTTTGCAAACCACGAGAGTATTGAAATAAGGGGAAGATGAAGGGCAGTAAAAAGCGTGTGAGGGGACGGCAAACAAGCGGGGAGAGCAGGGGAGAGTGAAGAGCAAGCCATCGAGATGGGACAGAATCAGAGGTGCCAAAAAATGGCGACGCCAACGCCGACTTACGTAGCTCCGACCATCTTCAGCTTGAGGAACTTGGGCGTGAAGTGGTATCTCACCAGCCGCCCGGCGTTTGGGCCGGGGTCCCGCGATTCGGGAGTCTCCTCTGGTCCCTCCTCTGCGGACGAGAACCGCGATGTTACTTCTACTACAGACCCACCACCTCACACTCTGTGAACTGCCTTCAACGGACGAAAACCGCGATGTTACTTCTACGACATACCCACCACCTCACATTCTGTGAAGTGCGACTGATCGTCGACCTATCACTTCACATGGGCCATCGTATGTTATCCGAACGGGCACCGCGCGCACATCTCCCCCTCCCCCCACCACCTCATCATTTGCCACCAGGGATGACTAGCTCATCATGAGTCGCGTCCTCTCACATCCGACAAATGCTGCAACAAGGCGACACTGTTCTATGGTCACCAAACAGCAGCCAGCACCATATTCACGGGCCGCATAACAGCAACACCCCCAATCTTGAATGCTAACACATTTGTTGCGGTATCGTCGACGAAACCTGCTCTTTCAGATAACTAATCAAATACTAAAGGGCGTATATCGCTTCCACATGGTATGTACGACTGAAATCATCACTTCGCGGGCGCGATATTATTCCGTTTCTTTTAGCCAGGTTGATCGCAACTTTAAATCAACACCAGGGTACGTCATGTCGTTCAGCAGTTTGTCCTCGCACTCACGCAGCGGGAACAACACGGAGGGGGGGGGGGGGGGCGTCACGGAATCCCAGGTATGGTACCCGCGGACCCTGACGCAGGATTGGTTACTGGCTGGTCACACGTGGTCAAACTCGCCACCCACCTCCTGCCGGCTTCACGATCTCGAACAGCACGGCGCCAGATTCCAGGTCGCGGATCTTGAACCGGGTGAAGTCGATGTTGTACACATTTGCCTCCGGACTGCACAGGTAATCTGGAAATCAGATGTAGCATTGAAAGCGAGCAGAAAATGAAGCCGGGCTGAACGGCACACCGTGATTCTTGCATCAGACCTGTGCTAGAATGCGGTCAAAACATCAGGCAGTGATTCTGCATGTCGCAAATGTGCATAAAATTTAACCACATCTGTCTATGCCCTGGACTATTTTAGATGAAGAGTCGTCAGTCCAGACACCCTCCTGTTCCAAATGTGGATGCAAAAAGTCTGGGGATGGGTGGGCTCACTTTTTGTTGCCTTCTCCAGGCAAAGGACATCCTCCGGGGTGATGATCGGCTTGCCCAGCAGAGAGTCCTCGCTCACCGCATCTGAACATGGGGAAGAACAAGTTGGAAGCAAAGTTCAGCAGAGAATCTCAGTTGACTCTGAGCATAGCAGTGGGCCAACAAACCTAGAATGTTTAGTACAATTATGCCAGCTGTGTGTGTGGCATAATTGGCCAGTCAGCTTTGGACAGCTGCTGTCCACAGCTTACTCTGAAGTCAGAAGTCAGCTGAGGCTTATTTTCATGAGTCTCATATTGCCTTGCTCGGGACATGTTAAAATTCACAGGCAGCAAAGCACATATCTGACTGGACTGCATGCAATATGAGGCATGGAAAACTTATTTGGTGAATTAGACATGTTCCAATGACAACAGAAACTTCAGAGAGTGACACAATTTTATGGTAATACTCTGACTGACACCACATCTCATACACAAATGATATCAGCAAGTAGTGTTTGAAGAGGACCCCGTCACATTTGTACAGCCAAACATACCTAGTGTCATGTGGCTAAGCATTTACAATATCATTTTATGTTAACTATATGTCAACAAAAATAGCCTTTTATTACTCACAATGCCAAAGTTTTTCCCTTTGGCATTTCACTGGTGCACACATCTTTACTCAATGCTTCTGTTTGAAGGAACATAAAGTATGCTATTGCTGAAGTTGTTGAACCTACCAAGACAAATGCAGCATGAATGAGTGAACTGTCTCTCACTTCAGTATGTAACACTTCTCCAGAGATCAGCTGTCTGCTCAGTCTGATATAAAATATTGCAGCTATTTTGCATCCTTACCTTGAGAAAGCTTTGATGAAGTGGTTTTGCCAGCACCTGAAAGTATTCCAGTTCCTTTTTCTTTTGTGGCTCCACTCTTAACACTCATGCTGATCCCTGGTAAACCTGTGGAAACCACACTGTCAATGCCTATGGAAATACCAATGTCAATGCCCCACAAGCTCAAAAAGTAAGCCTAACTTTGCTGGCCCCAAGGTCTTAGGTAAATATGTTCCTATCATTGCAACAGCATGCATGTGATCGCCAGAGCAGCTACATTGCTTAGTTCAGCTGACAAGGAAATGTTAGCTGGCAACTAGACATGGAGTATTGATCCCCAACGCAACCTAATATGCCCGGCCTGGGGCAGACACATCATGGCATGTAAACCTGTCAGCTGGCGCTATTCAAAAAATGGTTAGAATGACTCAATAAATGAGCAACTGGATCAGTCTGTTCAGTGCATATGCACTATGCTTTGCTAAATAAATGCTCTGCTCTGAGCCCAAAGCTATCTATACATGCCACTTGAGCTAAATTCAAAAAAAGAAGACATGTTCACCGTACTGTGTCATTTGACCTTCTTGAACCCAGCTGGATATGTGGGGGGAGGGGGGGGGGGGGAGAGAGGAAGGGGATAAGCAGAGAGTAATGCCCACACTTGCATGCAACATAGGGGAAGCAGCAAGACAGGGAAAATATCTAAACTTTCTCCCCAATTTACCTCTCAAAATGGTTTCTCCTAATACTTGGCTCACTTTCTCTTCAAAATTGGGACTTGTAGCCTCTTACCACCTCCTACTTAAGAAGTAAACATTACTTCACTGAAGTCCAGTGAATTTAAGGATTTGGGGGTGTAGTTTTACAAAATGAGTTGGAGCAATAAATAGTGTTTATCCCCAGATTCTGCCTACTTTCTTCCCAAGGCTGGGGGGGGGAGGAGAGTGGGGGGAATGCTCGTAACTCAATACGAAACTATACACCCCTGCAAAGACCCCTGGATTGTAAGGACTGCCAGAGCTTTTTACCCAAAATCCTCTGACCCAAGGGAGACCTAATAGCACCTCATGGAGATTTGGAACATATCATTAAGCAAAATGTCCCACAAATCAGAATATTTTTGACAACAGGGTTTTGTCTATTTTTGGCCCAGAATCAACAGTTCAATACATAAAGACAGCTCAACAAATATATGTGCTGTGTTTTCAGGTGCCTTAACTTTGGGTTACATGAATCATTTGTTTTCAGGATTTTTATCATTTGGTTGGCACACATATTATTTTGTGGTGCCAGATATACATAGCCTATACAACTATTAGGAGGAAACATCTACAATGCTTAACATTGGCGACTAAGGGCACAAAGAACTAGTGTTCATAGATACATAGCAGCAATTACACATGAACTACATTGAAATTAAATATGTATTCAACTTGTTTCATTTGAAAACAGGTATCCATACATAGAAGTAAAACAGATATCCACACATACTTCATACCTCACTGATCATACACGAAACCACCTACCTAGCTTATAAGTGTGTATATATATATATATATATATATATATATATACATATATATATGACCTGATTTCTCATCATATAAATATAACAAAGCTTGTTTGTACGAGTACGGGTCCACCAGACTACGTCCATCCATTGTAATCTAGAACCGTGGGGAAAAGACTCCGAAGCAATCCTTACCGAATAGCCGATAAGTACCAAGACGCCTCTTGGGTGCTTGCGTACGCCCTCACACACGCATGGTTATGCTAGCGCATTGATCGTGCAGGGTAATATTGATCCCTATGCACGAGCACCACCTACGTATCGCAACTGTCGCGTAGAGCAATAAACGCCGCGCTTGATCAAAACAACATAACTGCGTTCCCACGCAACCGCTTGACGTCATAAAACGATGCTCGGGCCCGGTTCGAAATCTGAAGGCTTCACACTGGCGGAGAGTCGTCCCGTTCTTCCAAAATATTTAGGAGGCTCGTAAGCGCCGGTGATCAGGGGTTTGGTGGTTTGGTTTGGTTTGGTTTGGTGATCAGGGGTTCTTCCTTCTCATTTGGGCACCGCAGCCCCCAGCTTGGGCTTCAGCGCTCCAACTTTGGAATGGAAGTGGGCAAAACCCGGGAAGAAGTTGACAGATTTGTTGTTGAAAGTTGTTGTTGACAGATTTGGGGGCGAGGTTGGGTCATTTTTACTGCACCCCCCCCCCATCCCCGACTCCCGACCCTTTTCGTGAACTACACCCCTGACAGTGCATACGAGGATCTTTCTGTCTGACGGTGATGCTGGCTTGCTATTTATATAGTAGGGCATTTGAAGGGCATGTTGCACATTTAAAGGCATTGAAACAAGCATCAAATATGACTAAATAAGCTAACTTATAACATTGGTATACTTTTAGTCAAAAAGTGGGAAGTGAAAAATGTTGTTCCAGGCAAGATATATTGCACAGCACTGATTGAGAGCCCCCCTGACGACCGTAAAATCTGAAAACCGTGCGGGGCTGTAAACTGCACCAAATGATGTTCAAGATGGCTATTGCAGTTCAACACCCCCACACAAATGTGGAGCGCTCCCTTTAACAGTAAGTTACACCCATAGCCTTACGCGGCTACGAGGACGAATCTCCGGCAATTGTACGTCTGCAATACGTGTTCAGAGCACAACTGGGGAACTGCGGGAACTAAGGGGGATGTTGAGCTGAGTTCTCTTAGCTAGGTCCTCAACTTTCGGGAAATTAACATTGCTGCTGCGGTTGTTGACTGATAAAAAATCAACCAAACTCGTTATGTCCTGGTCTGCCTGCCCCCCCCCCCCCCCCCAACCAACTGTACTGGAAGACTTACATTGCTCGTTACGCGCGCATCTAGGACGGGGGGCCACCGTGGTGGTTGACGTCATGGCTTACTTACTGACGGACTTGCAGCGCTAATAGCAAAGGCCGGGGCCAAATTCCCAGCCAGTTTCAGCAGACAACCGTGCCGTTAAGTCGTGTCCCACGTTATGTCAGAAACTGGACAGAGTTGCCCTAATCAATCACGTTTTGAACCGAGCTTTAACCTGAGTCGCAGATGTTTCCAAAGCAGATCCCAGCTGAACGTTTCATTTCCAAGAGTAAGCACAAGCGAGCTTGCTGTATGATTGCGAGCATTCGTGTAGGCGGTTTTCCACGCCAACTAGACCATCATTTTACCCACCGCGGGTACGAAGGCGTCTCGGGCCGCCATACTTTCTCACAGCGTTGTCTATCAGTCTATCAAAAGACGGGCTAGGAAGCCTCTCTCGTCCAGACGTGTGTGCCAGCGGCCATGAACCGAAGTAACTGGCTGTCTCCTGGCATTATTCGATACAGATTATTCTATGCTGATGAAATACAGGGATGTGTTATGAATAATACATAAAATAAAGGTTAAGAATATGAGCATGGGCATTGGGTGGGCTACATACACTGGGCAACAATTTCGGGGAGGTTGGATTTGCGCACATGACCAATACCCCGCCTCGCAAAATGCACGGAAAACGACACAACGCTGTCCCGGACATCGGACGTGCGCAACCAAATGCGCATTGGCTGTCGACGGCGAACACGGATCTGTCAGTTCTAGATGAGCACGCGTCAGCGCCGCACCGGTCGTTGGGCGTCAGTACTCAGTATCCGCGGTCCACGGTCTTGGAAACGGCCGTACCCTCATCGGCCTGCCCCGGATCCGCCAGTAGTCGACAAATGACTGCTCGCAAGTGAATCCAGCCGTACAAATCCGAAACATACCGCAAGGAAAACGAAAGCATCCAGTCGGTCACTGTATTTACACAAACGACATAACGTAATTCCCGTACGCTTACAAGAGCGCCCCTTGACAATTCCAACCAATCACAGCGAAAAAAAAACCTTTGGACCTGCATCAGTACCTACGGCTTGCTTGATCCCCGCAAGCGGTTGCTGGTAGCGCTACACCGATGCACTGGTGGTTCAAATACGGTTTAAACACGAACCATCCGATCCTCGCCATCGCGTGAAGTCTGTTTTCACTGTATTTCGTTTCGAGTTGGCAATACCTCACTGAGGTATCTAGAAATGTGTTCGCCTGGCTACCGGCTGCACAATATAGGCGACCAGAAGTCACGCTATAAGAGTGCATGTTTACTCAGACAGCACTGGTCTCACGTACAGCACTGGTCTTGGTTTTCAGCACCCACAGGAAAATATAATTCCAACACGCAGGGGCAGCGACAATGGCTAATGACTAACTCACGGAGCGCCTGGGGAAGAGTCCGAGCCACAAATAGATGAAACATCGGCAGTGTGGGAGCGGTCTCTGCGCAGCGTTCGGCCCCGGCGTACGGCGATTCGAACGATGACTCGGGGGTCTGTGGAGCGGGCCAGTGCTGATGCCGGCTCTGCCGATCACTGGAGAACGGCCGGAAGGTCCTCGTCGAACCCAAATCTCTGCAAATATAGACAGGCTGTGTTAACCGCGCGTAAGACACAACATTTTCAAGAAAAAGCAGGAGCGCGAAACTAAATTTCTGCAATGGGTCCTCGTGTCTCTTCTCCCCCTTCCCCACTCCACAAACGTAGCATTAACCCCGACCTTTATAAACATGCGAGGATCGCGACATCGACACCGCACACCCAGAGAAACGATCGTCTCTGTTGTACAACACCGCGACATCACGGCACGTGCACCGCGAACAAAACACCGACACGAGTATCCACCTAGCAGCGTGAGCGCCCACCCCGAACAGACGCTCAAACATCGACCGCAGCCCCACCGTCGCCTTCCAGCTGCTTCTCCCCCTCCCCCTCCCCTCCAGCCCCAACCAGACTTGTCACACATCAGACCTGATCGTCTCACAACACCAGCCTCGGGTTCCGCGTGACGTCACGCACGTTGTATGACGTCACAGTGCCCTGTGCGACGCAGCGCGACGGCACGGCGTACCTTGGCGGCAGCCTTGAGAGCAAACACGGAGGCGACGCCGAAGCTGAACGTCAGCAGGTACTTGAGCGGCGTCAGGCTGGGCATCTTGGGGTTCTTCAGCAGCTGCTTGGCCCGCTGCATCTTGGCCTTGGTGTACGGCGGGTAGCGCACCCTGCCGGCAGCAGCATCGGAGGAAGAAGAGTGAGGATGCCAGGTGCCCGGGCGGAACACGTCGAGGCCACGCGAGATAGGCGCAGGGCTTTGTTATGCAGTGGGTTACACCTGCAAGCAGGTCAGGAATACTGAACTGAAAGGCACCGAGCAAGCGACGGTGGTGGAGAGTTCTGCAGAGGGGTGTGTAACCGTTGGCATTTGTTAACATGGGTTAAACCCACAGGCCGTTCGGGCGAGCGATGCTCGGAATCATCCCAGATATTGCCTGGTAGGAGAGCAACGACCCATAAAACTACATCATTTCACGCATAGCATGGGTACTCGGGGGGCAAGTTTGAGATGAAACGTAGAGGATTCCACTTTATGGCATCTCGTACGTGCAGAAATGTGGAAACAAGGCGTTGCAGGAACCGGTGGAAACGCGGTCGAAACGAGGCGTTGCTCAAACCAGCTGTGGTAGCAGTTATGCTGGATTACGAGTTCTGAGTCCTTATATAGAGTTCACGTCCTTAGTACACCAGGAGGTGCCGATTTAGTGACGTAGTGCTTAATAACGTTTACATTGACGGTGTTCAACGCTTCGTGCTGTGCTTATCTTCCAGACGGACTGTTGACTCTTCGAGGACGAGCGCAGCTCGAAACATTGAGTACCGTCGATATTATCGCTATTTAGCACTACAGCGTCGTCTAACCAGCACTTCCAAGGCCGTTGAAGGTCGTTACCTTTACACAAGAACTTTTAACTCGTAATGCCAAAAAATAGTATCTGTAAGCCTTTCTTTCTTATATAACGCTATGCTGGGTATGTACATTGTACTTGCACTATGAGAAAGCATCTCCCTTCCGCCAAATTGCACCCCTTCCATACCCCGCACAATCCATTCCTGCGTATTTGGATCCTGAACAGAAGGGTGCCTGTTTTCGGCCCATACGGCGCACGGTATCAACTCACGAGCACAGCTTCTCCACCAGCGGGTTGTAGTTGCGCTCCAGCACCGGCTTGTAGTGGGTGAAGGTGTCGAACGAGAACTTGCCGTGGTAGGCGCCCATGCCGCTTGTCCCTACACCGCCGAACGGCAGCTCCTCAACTGCTCGACACGGCAGGGGAGAACACACAGACGGTTAACGGCAGCTCCTCGACTGCTCAGTACGTTATGGAATGGAACACAAACGGTTAACAGCAGCTCAACTGCTCGCCACGTCGGGGAACAACACACAGACGGTTGACGGCAGGTTGAGGCAAACAGGACTAGACAAAATGTGGGACCAAAAAGCATGAGATGCCAATCAAAATACACAAGCACCCTTAAGCCACCAGTTCTCAGCATTTTCAATAACACGTATGATCTATGGAGACGCAGCGCGGCCGAGGGGCGGGGGTGAGCTACTAGTTAATCTGCCAGATATACAAAGCATCACGGTAAAAATATACATTCAAATCGGAGATTATCACCGGGGGCCACGCGTGGAAACTTCGAGGATTTGAACTTTTTGTACATTGCATGTCTACCAGCACCATCTGGTCCACTGAAGCCACCGTCAATGCGTCTGTATGATGGTACATTATTACTAAAAATGTCTCACATACACATACGCATCCATTCCATTCAAAGACAGAGTATCTTTGAATTGAAATGCAGTGCTAGTTTCATGGGACACGAAGCGCCACTGGAGGCCACACGCAAGCTTGCCGGGTACAACCCATTACCTGCCGTGAAGGTGAGCACTTACCTCTCGCGTTGAAGCCAGTGCTAGGTACACATATGCGGACACGCGGCTAAAGCAACTACCGCGATACCTTACAGCATCTAGTGCGACTTGCTACCCGTTTCCCACCTCTGCCGTGTTGACTACCTTCCCGTGCACGTCAAAGCGGACGTCCACGAGAATCCTCCGTTGCACAAAGCCCCGTGACGTCACAGATGCCATAACGTCACACGAATGACGTCACAGATCCCATGAGGACGCTACCATCCAGCAATCACCCAAGTTCACACTGTTCATATGCATCCCCACAAACTGCGGGATGACACCGCAGCCAGCAGTGGCCGCCTCTTCTTATCTCCAAGGCCGAGGTCGACCGGAAGCGACGCCCCTCATGGGACTGACGGACGTGCATTCCAGAGCGCTCGATCGCTCAGTGTATCGGTGCTCGCCGGTATCATTTCGGGTGTAAATAGTGAAATTTGAACTTTAAATGCAACGCAGAAGAACGTCAGTGTCCACTAACTTTAATATCGGCCCCCAGCCCGACACAACAATAGCAATTACGATCCAGAACTCAAAAGAAACATTCTTCAAACTTGCACCGCGACGCCATGTGGCTTGAGGCAGGGCAGCGAAACTTTAAATGAAACGATCGGCTGGCAGAGCCTCGAGCGCCCGCCTTTCCACGCGCGGCCGCAGGCGAACGCTCCGCCAGCTGAGCGAAGCCGCGTCGGGCCGGCACCGGCGAGCGCTGGCGCCACCGCCGGCCGCCGTACCTGCCATGTGCACGAGCACGTCATTGGTGGTGACGCCGCCGGATGACGTCTGGCGGATGAACTGGTCCGTCACAGCCGCGTCGCGCGTGAACACGTACAGCGCCAGCGGCGCCGGCCTAGAACAGACCGCCGGCCGGCGCCGCGCGTCCGTCACCGCCCGCTGGCCAGCAGCCCGACACGCCCGCGCGGGGATCCTCGCAGGGATAGACCCTGTCGCGGGACGTGGAGGCGGACGGCGGAGGCGTGCCATCTTCTGGACCGGAGTGCGGCTGCGGAGCCATGTGACTGGGTGGGTCACAAAGGAGAGGAAGGTGGAGGTGGAGGGCGCGGGGCGGCAGGCAGCAGGACGTGGGGGGGGGGGGGGAGGGGGGAGGGAGGGCTGGCTTAAACACAGTGAGGAAGCACCAGGAAGGAATCAGGACGAGCCATGCGAAACAAACGACTGAGAGGACTCAATGCGGAGAGGCAGAGGAATGACTGACACGGAAATTCAGGCCTCGTGTATGCAATGAGGAAAGGTAGAAGATGTATGTCGAACGCGTAGGATGATAGGCGGTACTAGTAGCCCAGTTGACGCGGATTTAAGCGCTTTTAAAGGTCTGGGTGTCGAGATGAGTTTCACGCAGCTGGAAGAGAGGCTTGCAGCTAACAACCCAAGCCATTGACATAGAAGACCGTTAAAACGAAGGTGATTGCATCGTGTTGTACAGGTAAGCGGTGGATTTGACAGGTTGGTCCATCAGTGCGACTCCCGGGTTTGGAGCCGCGCGTCTGGAACAGGTCCGGGCGGGGCGGCGGATGTCAGGGGGGCTGGGTGAGTCTGCTCGATGGGCCGCTAGCTGACCAGACACCGGCCAGGCCCGGCCGCCTGACGCCGCACCTTTCCCGCACGCCCGACACCGCCGTCACCGCAGCGTCGGCCACCAGAGCCGCGACATCGCGGCATCCCCGTCGAGCGGGCTCCCTCGAGTGGAGCCAGCCCCGTGGGCTCTCGAGTGGAGCCTGCCCGGCGGGCTCCCTCGAGTGGAGCCAACCCAACGGGCTCCCTCGAGTGGGGCTAGTTCGACGGCCTGCCCGGTGAAGCATATGTAAAGTGTAGGGTGTGCGAGGTGGACTACGTGAGTGTATCAGCCACCTTCCCCAGACCCGAACCGTGGCGCAGAAGGAGAGGATGGACGGTCGTAGTGTCAGCCTCCACCTGCCGCGCTGAGCCAAGCTTTGGCACAGCGAGTGATAAGGCATGTGAACGTGTGGCAGCTGTAATCACCATCCACCAGGCGCACTCTCAGGCGCGGGGTATGGTAAGCGACAGTGGGCGAATGAGGATGTCCTGCATCTGAGCGGTTCCTCGGAAGACTTCTTGACCAAGCTTCTCGCAGCGGACGTACTTTCTTGACCACGCCTCTCACAGCGAGCGTAATTTCTGGTCCAGGCTTCTCACAGTGAGCGTAGTTGGTGAGAAACCTACACTGCCGCTCTTCTGTTCTACGGTATGGGCTACACCTGACGCGGTATACACCATCACGTCTTTGTTCAGGGACGCCGCCGCCGTTCTAACGTCTGCCTGCTACCAGCTCCTCCTCCTGCTCCGACTTCCCGCTGCTGACTGCATGCTCGCGGGCCGCACCTCCTCAGAAGAAGTGCAAGGCCTCTCACGACTGAGACCCCCCCCCCCCCCCACGGAGGGCGGGATGTTACCTCCGTAGTGGATGAGCGTCTCATTGAAGGAGACGCTGCCCGTGGAGGTGCGCTGCAGGAACTGCTGCTGCGTCGGCACGTCGCTGGTGAAAAAGTACGCCGCCAGAGGCCGCTCTCTGCAGGCACGCGGCGGCCCCATCAGCCCGGCCCGAGCCGGGTAGACCCCACCGCCCCTCCTCCTCGTCGCCGGGGACCGCCGCACCATAGGCACACCCACACGCCTGGGCCGGGCGCCCCACACCGGCGGATCGCGCCGGGGTCATACCCACGCCCTCAGGCCGCGGTCACACCAGGCGGGCGACGTCCGCGGCACCGAGCCAGGTCTGCCGGCAGCAGGTGGTCGCGACACCGAGCCAGGTCTGTCGGCAGCAGGTGGCCGCGACGCCGGCCAGTCTGCCGGCCGCCGGTGGCCGCGACACCGGGCCATGTCTACCGGCCGCCGGTGATCACGACACCGGGCCAGGTCTACCGGCCGCCGGTGACCGCGCGAGCTTCGCCTCCCCCGGCAGAGTCCGAGTGACGCCGTGCAGCGACACCGATCCATTAGAGGCGCGTTTGTACACGCCGTGCTACTCGGGCGGAGGTTACATTTCGATGTGACCGTTCACCCACGTTCTGCTCAGGGGAACGATATTACAGTCCACAACAATGCGTGACGGCGTCAGCAGACCGCCACAGACAGTGACCATCACGAGCTATCTTGCCTCAAAATTTATCGGCATCACGACGGCGCGCCAACCAACCCAGGCCGTCGCCGAAGGCAGTGCAGCTGCTCAGCTGCACGTGCGACCTCTGACCCCTCCGCCGGGTGTACGCGTGCCCGACGGCCGTGACCTCTGCGGCTCGGGGTGATCTGCCCCGCCCCAGTGACGGCCGACCTCGCTTGGAGCGCGGACGTCGCTTCCCCGACGCCAGCCGGGCAGCGGCACCACCCCAGCCCCTGCGGGTCCCGGACACACTGATGGACGCAGGGACGGACGCGCAGGCAAGCAGGCAGGCAGACAGGCAGCAGGCAGGCAGGCAGGGAAGCAGGCGGGCAGGCAGGCGGGCGGAGCTGCGGCGCATTGAGTGCTGCGAGGCGGACGGAGAAGTGCGCAGCATGCAGAGTGCAGTGCGAGCGGCGCGCGTGCGAGGCAAGCGGCGGGCCGGGCGGCGCACATACCTCCGATGTGGAACAGGGTATCGTTGACGGTGACGCCGCCGGCGGTGGTGTTCTCGAGCAGGAAGGTTTCCGTGGCCTTTTGGCGCGTGAAAATGTAGAATGCTAGGGGCTTTTCTCTGCAAGGTTACGCGGCGGATGTGAGCGGGCGGGCGGCGGGTCACGGACGGCCGGCGGTCCGGGGAGCGAGAGATGTCTGCCACCGATGCTACGAATGCTCAGAGCCCGGGCGGAAGGCCGTCACCTTGTTTTGAGCGGTCAGAAGTATTGTGGGGCTGTTGAGAGGTCAAAGCGGGGGAAGCCAACACCAGGGACGGTTCCCGAGGGCGTCAAGGCGATGGTGCTGGTGTTGGGATGACGCTGAGAGGAGTAAAGAGGAACGCTGCGTGCGACGCTGTCTAGTGAGCGACTCTCACAGGCATGACGTCATAACATTCATTCAAACAAAACGTCTCAATGGACATCAGCACGTGAACTGAGCGTAAGAGCACGCAAAATAGGAAAAACTATGGATACGACATTCAGCAAAGTCAGAGTGCCGCCAAGCCACATAACCAGTCGTGCTTAGCGCCTGACTAAATACATCATGTATACCCCGAACCATCCACCCTTGGTCTCTCCCTCTCCCTACACTGCCGAACACACCCTCATCCTCCCAGCCGTCGCATGACTCTGGCACTGTTCTGATACAAACACTACGCTCCCACCACCCACACACGCCAGCGCTTGGAGCGCTAGGTCGTCCCAGCATCCTTCCCAACCACGACATCGTTGGGGTAATTTCACAACGCACGTGACCGCTGGGGCCCTCAGCATCGCACACGTATGACCGACCACAGCGGGGACACCAAAGCACAGTCGGTCCCCTCTCACACGTAATGCTCCTCCAACATCCCCGCCCCCGCCCCATCCCGCCCATGGACGTAACCACGCCTTAAATTTTACTGCGACACACTTCTGTTCGGCGCCATTTTACACGCCCAAAACACGAAAAGTCTAATCCGCCAAACAGGAACTGGGGTCCAGAGGCCGGCGACGGCAGCGGTGGTGACACCCTCCCCCGCCGAGTCTACCCACCGACTGTTGATGAAGTCGATGGCCTCTGCAGGCGTCTGCACGGTGACGATGGGCAGCAGCGGGCCGAAGATCTCCTCCTGCATCACCGGCTCGTCGGCCTTTACGTCCGTCAGCACCGTCGGCTCGATGAAGTTGTCGCCGGCGAAGCAGCGGCCGCCCAGCGCCACCGTGCCGCTGCTCTCCATCAGCTTCTTGATCCGCCTGCCGTCCCGGGCCGGGTCCGGTCACCGCCCCACACGGAGACACGCGGCCACCGAGAGCGGTCCTGCGCGCGCCGCCCGAGTGCGCGTCGCCCTGCACGTTGTCACGACCAGCCCAAACCAGCGCTGGGCGCAAAACGGGGCAGAACCCCTGCCTCATGCCCGCCGCGTGGCGATGGATAACCAACAACCACCAGCCGACGGTGACGGTGACAAAGCCGGCCACTCCGAGACAGCAGCAGCCACGAAGACCCTCTGTGAAGACCATCGTCATCCGTCCCGAACACGACAAATACCTCCCTCCACCAAACCAAGATGGGCAGTCATGACCATAGCCAACCAGCGCACGCTGCCCTCTAACCCCCTCTCCTGCTCCTTCCGCTTATGGGTGGGCTCACGTCCCATATTCCGTAATTAACCATCACCCCCCACCCCCACCCCCCTTGTCCGCCCAAGCGTCGCCTCTCACTCGAAGTGTCGTTTGTTGACGATGCGGCCGAGCTCCGAGGCGTCCTCGGGCTTGCCGCCGAACCACTCGTGAAGCACCTGCTTGGCCTGGCGCAGGAAGCGCGCCTCGGTCGCCTTGTTACAGAGCAGGTAGTCGGGCGCGATGCATGTCTGGCCCAGGTTGATCACCTTGCCCCAGAGGATGCGCCGCACCGCGTAGTCCATGTTGACCGAGTCGTCCAGATACACCGGGCTGCGGAGGCAGACCATCAGGTAAGGTCAGGCCTGGCCGGGTCCAGCCGGGTCCGATCAGGTCAGGCCAGCGCTGGCACCGGGGAGAACCAGTCGCCAGCACATGGATGGCCACAGTCGTAACTCGTAACCACCGCTACGAGGACCAAGCGAAGCGCCCCTAGACGTGGAGAGCGCGGTCGAAGCAGGCATTACAACTGCCGGAGCGTGGCGTGGCGTGGCGGGTAGGTGGCGACAAGAGAGGCCACGCCCAGGCGTCACCAGCACATCGAGACGACCCTCCCCCCCCCCCCCCCCCCCCACCTGCCGGAGCTCCCCGCGCCATGCCTACCTCTTGCCGCCCAGCTCCAGCGTGACGGGCGTCAGGTGCCGGTTGGACGCCTCGCGCACGATCTTGCCCACGGCCGAGCTGCCCGTGTAGAAGATGTAGTCAAAGCGCTCCTGCAGCAGCTGCTGGCTCTCTGGGATGCCGCCGCACACCACCGGGAAGCAGCGGCGGTCCAGGTAGCGCGGCAGCGCCTCGGCCAGGAAGGCGGACGTGGCCGGCGACAGGTCGGACGGCTTGATGACCACGCAGTTGCCGGCGGCGATTGCGCCGCTGACCGGCACCAGGGACAGCTGCAGCGGGTAATTCCAGGCGCCCATCACCAGCACCACGCCGTACGGCTCGGGCAGCACGTACGGCCGGTCCAGCATGGTGGCCAGGCTGCGCTGCACCTGACGACGGCGGACAGCGCGGCGTCAGCGGCGCGGCGTTAGTGGCGCCCGCCACCGTCGGAACGGACGGGCGCCGGCGCGTCACCCGTGCGGACGGCTGGCGCGGCGGCAAGAACATCGTGCCACGGCCAGGAGGGAGTCATCAGTCAATCACTATCATCAGCGAATGCCGAGACGGATTGCTGAGCCGGCTAACGGAACGACAGGTCAGGCAGTGCCCAGCCGGGTCGCTAAACCCCCCCGATGTCTGGTTAGTTAATATAAAGACCGGCTCGGCCTGAGGCCTTACTCGTGACTGGCCCCGCAGCGAAATGTGACATCGAGAAGGCTGACCCCATCAACAAAACACGGCAGTTGAGACAATTCTGCAAGAATTACCAGCCTACACAAGAATGATGCTTTCTGAAACATTAGGTGTCATTTCAACTCAAGCGTATACTTTAATCGGCGTCCTTTAAACGTCCTTTACGACGGATGGGAAGTCCATGCAACAATCACGGCTTAGTTCGCTGCAGCGCGTGAAGTCTGCTAAGACGCGTCGCGCGACCAAATACTGCGCGATATCCTACAGGCAGTAGCAAAGCCAGCCGACTCTTGGGCCCCGACAACGTATCACAACAAAACTGTGCGGTAGGAAACATACACAATGGCCAACTCACGGCTTTCGGTTTTGACCACTCGTCCACGTTGTTGAGCATCGTCTTGACATCATTGACGAGGTAGTTGACTTCTGTGAGCATCGCCTCGAATGCATGCTGTGCAAAAACCGCCGGCGTCAGCACGTTCGCGATACCATAGCGGATCAGAACACATCCCACAAGGCCGTTGTACGAATCCCACACGAGTATTGCACAAACGCGGGCGCATGTAAGGCAAAAGCGCAAGCGCAAGTCGCAGAAATGCGCCCAAATGTTGAGCACGTGTTCCTGCATATTCCAGAGCCCGTGAGACACCAGGGAGTAGAAGGCAGAACTAGCTGCTGGCGAAATATGCAGCAACGTGCTGGTTACAACGAACGACGCCGGCCCAGCATGCGTCTGTGTGGACAATTTCGACTACAGAACGCCGCCAGCTGCAACAAGGGTAACAATATCGATGTAATTTTCATTTAGCTTCTACAAATGGATTGCAAATTTCTTCTGAAGGGCCAGTAACACCAAAGCGATCTCGCAAACCATAAGAGCCAAAGTGTCCTCCCTCCCCTTCTCTTCGCAGCTTAGACACCCGACAGCATGGACATCGTCCCCCGTTTTGATCCTCAGGCAAAAACGGCTTGCACCAGGGCTCGCTCTACACCCGATAGCACCCCCACGATCCGTACAACCACAACCGCTGGCCAAATGTCGGCGGCATCTGACCACAGCTGCCCCGGTCACGCGCACACCGGGCGTCGGCGGTCCCCTCCCCACCTTCCTGAGGTCCTTGTGGAGCACTTCGATGAGCTGCTCCTTGTTCTCGTCGTAGAAGCGCAGCAGGCCGCGCAGGTTCTGCTTGCGGAACTCCACGTCCCGCGTCAGCCCCGAGCTGTAGGCCTCGCGGGTCTCACGCACCAGCTGCGACAGGGACGGCGCTGTGAGATGGGTATGGACCCCACGGAGTGACACAGGGACGCCACTGTGACACGAGGCCTGATCCGCAAGGAGTGGCACAGGGACGCCGCTGTGACACGGAGCTGACCGACACGGAGTGGACACAGGGACGCCGCTGTGGCACGGAGCTGACACACACGGAGTGGCACAGGGACGCCGCTGTGACACGGAGCTGACACACACGGGTGGCACAGGGACGCCGCTGTGACACGGAGCTGACATACACGGAGTGGCACAGGGACGCGCCGTGGACACGGAGCTGACCGAGACGGAGTGGCACAGGGACGCCGCTGTGACACGGAGCTGACCGACACGGAGTGACACAGGGACGCCGCTGTGGCACGGAGCTGACATACACGAGTGGCACAGGGACGCCGCTGTGACACGGAGCTGACACACACGGAGTGGCACAGGGACGCCGCGTGACACGGAGCTGACACACACGGAGTGACACAGGGGACGCCGCTGTGACACGGAGCTGACACCACGGAGTGGCACAGGGACGCCGCTGTGGCACGGAGCTGACACACACGGAGTGGCACAGGGACGCCGCTGTGGCACGGAGCTGACACACACGGAGTGACACAGGGACGCCGCTGTGACACGGAGCTGACACACACGGAGTGGCACAGAGACGCCGCTGTGGCACGGGCCTGACCCACGCGAAGCGATAGTAAACCAAATCGAGCAAACGAGTACACCAAATTGTAATCATGAACCTTGCATTTTATGTGCGTCCACAAAAAAGGCAAGGTAAGGTTAACACGTGACTTAAAACTGCGCTGAGTCGACTGTAAAACCCTGCACAGTCGCGGCCCACCAGAAGCCTGTCCAATGCCGCGAAGCCTACCCATACGCGCGGCGCCAACTGAACCTATCCCACAAAATCTCCCGCATGCGTCACAGAACAGATTGATTACGCTTCACGCAGAAGATTACGGCGAAGTTCCCCGTGGCCATAGCAGGCTCCACAAGCCGCGAGCGTACGCCAGGACCCGAATGGAAGCCGCCTGCCCTCCGTTACGGCAGTCAACCAGCACAATCTGTCGACTGAACTCAGTCCCCCCAGATCCCTATAACCAGCACCACCTGTCGACAGTCTAAACTTAGTCCCCCGGTCCTTACAACCAGCAGTCTGTCGACTGACTGAACTCAGACCCCAGATCCATTCAGTTCGTCCGGCAGAAGTACGTGCAGTGGCAGCACCACGTACGTGCAGTGGCGCCCATGGGGTGGAAGCCACACGCACCCTCCCGGCGGCGAGCGGAAAGGGAGCCCTGCTGGAAAGGCTTAGGCCAAACGAGACGGACGCCGTCCTTTACAGCGGATACGCCTGGTAGTTGACTGGGCCGAGACGGCCACAGGCCCTGACCGCCCATCACACATGCCGAGCCCAGCTCAGGCTAGCTAACACGCGTCACCTGTTGTCCGCGCCCCGACGTCGGGACACGTCTTCTCGAGGCGGTCGCCGGCCGGGGGCAAAGGGCAGTACGGCTCATGACCTCGGAGGCAGGGCCGGCCATCGACAGCCGTTATCGATGCCCCGGATCCGAGAGACGCCGGGGCGACGCGAACGTGAGCTTGCGCCGACGCCGTCAATAGCGCAGGCGACGCGGGCGACCGAGCCCCACGCGCTGGCGGACGGCAGACGTGTGTGCGCAGCGCTTGGGCCCGAACGTCAGCGTCCAGCAGGAGCGGCCGCCATGTCAAAACGATGACAAAACAAAAAATATAAAGCAAAATGTCTAGCGAAAGTCTTAAACGAAGGGTAAAAACCGGAGGAAAACGCGGCGGAAAACAAATCTGGTGCTGACAATTCTGCCATAACTTTGATTGCAGAACATCAAATTAGCTGCAACAAGCGGCACCTAATTGCTTCGCCGCGAAAAGACAGCGCCGTTGGCACCGGTCACACATTCTCCTGGAATTGCGGTCTAAAAAGCAAGGCAGTGCCTGTCAAACATCAGCTGTACTGGCTGCGCACGATGCGACGCAGGAGACAAGCGCTCCAACAGAAACAGGTCAGCGAGACCCGGCCCGCCAGCTTTCATCGCCATCGGTATGGCAGACCGCTGCCGAAGCCGGGCTGGAAAGCATTGAAAGGGCCCGCTCACGTCTCAGACGCGTTCAGGGACAATTTCAACAGCATCCGTCTGCGCAGTACTTCCAGATGATGCATGGAAGAGAGTCCTACAGCCACTGGTTTTTCAACATTTTACGACCAAAACCCTTGCGCTGAATTCACGGCCTTCCAATATAACAGGAGGTACTGGGAAAGCGACGTTGCGGTGCTAAATAAGCATTGCATGAGTGTCGTCAATGTAATTGTTATTCAGCACAATCCCATCGTTTGACAACTATTTTCTGGCATGTTGAAGGTCGTCGGTTCAACACAAGAACTATGAAATCAAGATGCAGTACTTCTGGGTAAATTTTCCTCCCTTTTGAACACCATAGTGATGTTCCGAAAGATGCGCCCGCCACACTAAACGCCATCCCCACGCGTGCGGCGCCGGCTCTCCGGCGTCGTCGCCCGTCAGCGGCCGCCGTGCGTCTTCCACCATGTCCACTGTCCGGTCCACAATCGTCTTCCACTGCGTCCACTGTCCGGTCCACAGTCGTCTTCCACCATGCCCACTGTCCGGTCCACGATCGTCTTCCACCGCGTCCACTGTCCGGTCCACAATCGTCTTCCACCGCGTCCACTGTCCGGTCCACAATCGTCTTCCACCGCGTCCACTGTCCGGTCCACAATTGTCTTCCACCATGCCCACTGTCCGGTCCGCAATCGTCCTTCCACCGCGTCCACTGTCTGGTCCACAACCGTCTTCCACCGCGTCCACTATCCGGCCCGCTCCGAGATTGGCGTGCTGCCGCGCCGGGGCTTGCCGATCTCTCGCAGCGTCCCGTTCCGGACCTTGAGTATCAAACCCCTGGGTGCACACGGAGATGGTGTTGTTGATTGGTTTGTGGGCACGCCATCTGGACCGGCCTCTGTACCCCCTGACGTTAATGCCGCTGGTGGACAGGGCAACGTGAATGCTAGCCGTACTGCTGCGCCCGCGCTTATCCGAAACACCGTGCTTATCCGACACCGCTACCATGCTTATCCGAAACAGTCAGCTGAATACGGCCCTTCTCGAAGTTTTCGTGGTCTTTCAGGAGAAATCAAAAGCCTCAGGCCGCATCAGGGACCTGACGCGCTCTGTCCAACTCCTTCCCAAACGTGTCTGTGTTCATCATGTAACCTTTTAAAGCCCGGACGGCTCTCTCTTTCACCAGCCTTGGCACCCACGCTCAGAACCCGTTAAACAAATCTGCAACCACCAACCTAGATAAAAACAGGTTTTAAGCAAATCTCAAGGCGTTTGAGCTCACAATCAGTTAAAAGTGCTGGGACCGAGCACGTCATGTGAGTTTAGTGTCTCAACACAAGCAAATCGCTGGAAGACTTGCTTCTCAAGATCATACGGTTCCCCACTGTCACCACAATCCCTTTTTCGTCCGATGACATGCCATGAATGATTGTTTCATATACATACACACCCAAATATATATATATATATATATATATATATATATATATATATATATATATGGCATGTGCGTGTGTGCATCGTGCCAGCTTATACTGCGGCCCATACCTATTACGAAAAACCGTTGCCTTCATCATTATCTGCACTATTTTGCAGAACGCGAGTATCTTTCTCCCCCGCATACCATTCCGAAGAGACCTAATACCACTTCCGGCACGGAACGGGGACTGCGATTCTTGTCCATTCCTAAAACGATGGGGTCGCACCACATGCCCGTGGCGTGCAGGTCATCCGGCATCCCTACCACGCGCCGCTAAGTGAGCCCCCTTTAAAGGGAGTGTTCCACATTCGAACGAGGCTTTGAACTGAAATAGCCATTCTGAACATCACTCGGTGTAATTCACAACCCCGCCCTTCTCAAGACCTAAAACGTCTCAGTTTCCCCGCAAAATGCCCGCGAATATGTCCATACTTGCTCATGCAGTCTTTTTCAGGGCAATTCAAGCATGCATAGCGCCATAGCAACGCTATGCAATGCCTGCCACGTCACAACCCAGGAAGAACATTATTGCCCAGCTGATTGGACCTGGGTCCGCGCGCCCGATTACCACGTGAAATGAATGTGACTTATCTCGCAAACCATGTAGAACAGCCTGCGCAAACCTTAAACACGAACCGCGTAAACTTGGACGTGGTTTCTTCACTTGCTAGTTATTTCGGAAAAAGACTTGTCATCGAATAAGTAAAGAAAAACGCCATAACCCAGTATGTGAATGCTAGTACATTTCTTAAAGTAACGGATAAATATGCAAGAACGCCACGAGAAAGAGCCCAAAACACACGCACGTAACGATGTTTATACTGCAAGTCAGTGGCAATTTCGCACGGCCGGTTTGGCAGTACATCAACGTAATGCAAACGATCCATGACGCAATCAAATAATGACGTATTGAAGAACATATTTACTAAACGTAGAAATTAAAAAAGACAACAGTTATAAATGAGTCTACTTGATCATACCTGAAGCCTGCTTCAATATCTTCAAATTGAGGCATTCATTCCCTTTAAAACATCGAAACATGTTCTCCGAGCATGCTCAGCCGGCCGACGGCGGAGCGCGCTGCCCCACTGACCAGCGCCGGGCGGCCGCGCGCCCCGCCTGGCTCGTCAGGTGAGCCCGCCCGGCCGGAGGAGACGAGGAAGCCCGAGGAGCGGCCCATCGCTCCCACCCGTCCCCACCGGACCGAACGGCACACCAGCCGCACATAACTCGCGTGGCAGCCGGGCCGGCCGCTTCATAGCCGCAGGGCAGCGGACGCGGGCCGGCGGCCGCGCGCCGATGCCCGCCGCTCCGTGTCGGCCGATGGGGAGGCCACGCGGGCCACGCCGACGGGCTGGACGGCGTCCGGCGACGAGCCGGGCCAGTGC